TATGTTGTGATATGAGTGTTGTAGCGGCAGTTGCGTGGCTTTAAGCTGATGGTTAGTCTACTTTGTGATTCAAGTGAGTTTCCTCGTTGTACCCGTGGGTCGAGGGCACCAATGTCGGCCCACTAGGATCTGTTATATGCTAACTGTGTTTTTGACTCTTGCATGGTCTGTCGGGCTAGGCCCACTGTATGTTGGGCTGGGCCTATGGATTAGGAAGGGCTAGGCTCAATGTATGTTATTTGTTAGTTGTCTCTGTGACTCTTGCATTGTATGTTGGGCTAGGCCCATTGTATAATGGGCTAGGCCCATTGTATAATGGGCTAGGCCCATTATGGTGGGTTGGGCCCAATGTGAGGGCTAGGCCCAATGATATGTATGGTATGTGGTGTTTTGGGGAACTCACTACGTTTTGTGATTACGGTTTATATTTATGGTTTCAGGTACTTCCGTTTTGAAGGGGAAGGGCCTGGCTTGATCGCAGCACATCCCCCCATGTTTCCGCAACTTTATGATTTTGGGATTGTACTTTTATAACTATTTTTACTCTGATATACCTTTGAAAGATTGAAATGGGTAAATGGTGTTTAATGGTTAATTTAAAAATGAGACTTTTACCTTATAATTTTTGGGACGTTACACACATTTCACTCTAGCAGATGGGATCGACTTGGGAGCCTTAGGGCTGTTGAGAAATAGCGATTCAATAATAGAAAGACCCTACAATTTGATTTCAAGCTTTTCTAGTTCATTTGGAGCACATTGTGAAGTAATCTAGTGGTCTAAGGTATAACTTTTTTCCCTTTTGGTGTGCAAATCCGAGTTTCACTTGTTGTTTGGATGTTGAATCCGATTTTCATCCCATTTGAGGACTAGGGTTTGTGTTCTAAGCAAACTAAGATGATTATGTTAGCTTCTAGCTCAAATCTTTCATATGGTGGAAATTTTGTTGAAATTGCCAAATCTCCACAACCCCTAGATGTTGCAATAATAATGTCGATGTGATAATCTAACCCTTATATGATTTCATGGCCATTGAGGAAGGATTGATCGCAAATCTTCATAGAATAACACAAATTCAATCAATGGTAGAATCATTTACTTAGATTATGAAGTTTGGGGATAATTATGAAATATGAACCTTAATGGTGATTGTTGGAGATATAAGGAGTATGTATTGTTCATGATCATAGATCTATGTTATAGATTATGAATTGAAGGTTAACATGAAGAATCATCACATCCTAGTGTGGTTTTAGTGATTGTTGGGACAAAAAGGGAAAAATGGGAATAAAAGAAGGAAAACATGTTCTTGAGATCAATTTTATGTATTGGAATGTTGAGAAACTTGTCATACTTATATATATATATATATATATATATATATATCAATTTACTTGAGTTTATGTTAATGGAAGAAGTGGTTAGTAAAGACATTAAATCATTTTGTGGATTGAGTACTTATTCATATTAAGTGGCTTAATGACTAATTGATGCTTTTAATCAATAGGAAAGCTTATTGAATTAAGTCAAATTAAAAGGAGTGGCACAATAATTTCTTACTTTTATTGGTGTCTTATTGGGGTTTAAGTTAAGTGCTTAATGGAAGTTGGGATTTCGTGGAAGTTGGAAACAAAAATGGAATTCAGATTCTGCCTGCACAGTGGACGTGAGGCATCCATGTATAGACACGAGGCGCCAGCGCAACAGATCCTGGATGCTGCGAATTGTTTCACGATTTCCATTTGATTCCATTTTTAAGCATCCTCTATGTTATAATGACTTGTAATCCAAGATTTTAAATGCATTTATCTATAATTCTTAGATTACTTTTAGCAATATATTAATGTACTTTCGGTTTATATAGGTAGTGATTGAGAGTGGTACTTATTGAAGAGAAGTGGAATAAGAAGGTAGGAACTAAGGTGAGTTACCGGGAACATAGATCCCCTACCTACTAAATTTTTATAAATCTTACTTGATTCTCATTGCATGGTACTTTATGTACCCATTGATTGTCATATGTTGTAATTGTGCATTCATGCAAACTATTTTCTTGAAATGTTTTGACTGCTCTTCCTTCATCCTCCATCTCACTATGAGGGTCGGTTGGAATATGTTTGGTTGTTTAATAGCCATGAAACTCAAGAGCTTAAAAACTTTGTAAAATGTTTTTTCCATCATGTGTGTACATATTCATACCAAGATGGGTGTAACTTGAGATCACAAGTACCCTAATGGACATTGATTATTGTTGTTGTGATTAGATTTCTAGATAATATTCACATGAACAAGTAGAGGTTCGCTACTCTTTGTGTAGCCTAGATTAGATAGCCCCTAGTGCCTTGTTTGTAGACGTAAGGGCTAATTTAACATTTTGTTTGTCATATGTTCTTTACATTTGGCCATCAAATTTATGAGTTGGACTTTGAGATTGACATGGGGGTTGGGAATGGATGCATGCATAGCCTTGCATTTAACATGAAATTCTTATACATCTTTTGGCATTGTTTAAACGAAAGAAAAATATATTTTGCATCTTTCAAAATATAAATTATAAGTTTTGGGAGGATCAATTCGAGTATTGAGATTGCTATTCCTTACTCAAAATGAGTTGATCTTTTGATAATTCACTAGACATTTCGTTGTAACTTATTTTGGATGTGTGTTCAGAATGAGCGGTTGATGCTTAGGAGTTAACATGGATTTTAGAAGACATCGACTTGTGGAGAACTTGAGCATTTGTTATGATACCTAATAGATACCTCACTTTTAAACTTTTATTAAAACTTTTGGGACCGTTAAACTTTTTAAACTTGAAAGTGTTGAATATTAACAATTAAAAACTTCGTTGAAAATAATTTTACAAATGGGCCCTAACAAAGGGTGTTACAAAATATTAATTAATAAGTCAAAATGAGTCAAAATAACCCTGACTTGGCTTCTAGGATTCGTATAGAAATATTGAGACTTATTAGTTTAACTTGTAATTAATGGAGGAATAAACTAGAAATTTAAATGCTTGGGAGCTATAGATATGAAGAGACCAATATGTCAAAGTTATGAACTTATGCCCGAGTTCCCTCTCTTATTTTCCTCATTCAAATGCTTGGGAGCTATAGATATGAAGAGACCAATAGTGCTTCTAATGCTTGGAGAATTGGAGATAGGTGATGAAATTGGAAGCAAAACTTAAGATCCAATAGTGTTTCTAAGCTTATACTTGAATTAGAAGCTTGGAATGCAACTTTCTTCTCTATTGTTGTCTTCTATGTTAGGTTAAACTCCATCTAATCAAATTCAATGTTCTAAGCATGGATTAGGCTTAGTTTTGTGCTTTAGGCATATTGTTAAATACCTTATGACCCTCAATTTTAAACGTAGAGGCCCAAAAAATGCAATGATTTCAAGACATACAAACAATATAAAGGCCCACACAAATACGATTAAAATTGAAGGCTCAATTTAGTGACATAATGATAGAAGTGGTACACACATCAAAAACTCAAAACTCAAACTCATGACCCTCAAAAAAACTACTTCAAATTCATTCCATTCCATTTCATTCCTACTCTGATTCCGATTCCGCACTCTGAAGCCATTCCACAAACGGCTTCGCATTCCTCCAAATAACGGAATCCTTATTTCCACCTTTCAACCCTTCCTCATACCACTTCACCACATACTCCTCCTCCACCACATCCGCATCATAAAGCGCCTTCAAAACAAGCGCCACCTCCTTCACCGCCACCGGATTCTTCACCTTCCCACAATACTCCTCCACCGCCCCAAGCAACATCATCTGCCCCTCCTCCCCATCCGCCACCACCGCCGCCAGATACTTCCGCCTCTTCACCACCACCTTCGCAAACCCCTTCTCCACCCCGTCAAACAACCCTTCATACACCGCGTTTACATTCTCCTTTCGTGTCCCAGTCAGCGCTGACATCATCACATCCGGCCCCACTCCTTTCTCCAAATCCTCCTTCACTTTCTCCACTAGAATCTGATGTGGCGCTTTCGTTTTTGTTTTCGCCTCCACCGCCTCATCCAACAGCATCACCATGTCGGCTGTCACCGCGCTCAGCTGTTCTTGTACACGCTGGCGTGCGGCTTCCGCTGACGTGTCGGTCTGCCATTGGATGTTGTCATCGTCGGCATCCGCCACGTCAGCAGGTGGTGAAGAGGTTGGTTTTACTTCTTTTCCCTTTTTTTTACTCTTGACCTTTTTGACCTCCTCATCGGCTGCTTCCCCTTCTTTTAACCTCTCCTTTTCAGCCCTCCTAAGGGCTTTTTTGTCTTTTGACTTCTTTTGCTCAGGTGGGTTTTTGAGGATAAATGATGTTAACTTATCTCTCATGTCCACGTCAGATATGAACCCACAAGCAGCACATTTGAGTTGAACCATTTGAGTTTTAGTGATCAAAACTTCAGTTTCAGGATTCCCACATCCGTAACACTGAACGTATTTTTTAATAAAAATTTCAAGAAGACCTGCGAGTTTTGCAGTGTCGTGGGACCCGTTGACTAGGGACACACCCGTCTTTTCATCAAATTTTGATTGGGCACCGAGTTCACACCCGAAGTACTTAGTAGTATAAGAAGGTGGTCTAGCTAAAGCTTTAGCAACATCAACCATGTTGACTATATTTGTTTTAATTCCATTTCCACGCCCTTCAATTTTCGTGACCATTTTGGGCATTTTGTATCTGTAAAAGGCGTCATCACTGTTGCCAGCACCAATGTTTTGTAATGCCATTTTTGGGGGGTTGATAATGGAGATACTAGAGGAGGGTGGTGATGGAATGTTTCAGAGATATGGTGGAGAGAGAAGGTTGTGGCCAAGTGTGACCAGTGAAGGATCTTTTGTGTTGGAAATGGAATGGTGATTGATGCATATAAAGAGAGGTCTTTTTTCTTGATGTAGGAGAATATTCACCTAACAACCCAATCCACCCTAAGTAGAGAATAGCCTGCTCGGACATAAAAAACACTTTTGACTTTTAGCAAGCTCCAACTTGCAATCTGTAGAAGCAAAATGGCTGTGTAACCTTCAAAAAAAATAGGGTGTTGTTAGTATCTAAATAACCACATGAAGAACAATACAAAAGCTCGTCTACTGTATCTACTCGTATATGATTTGAGTGTATCTACTAGCGTTATGTTCAATCAAGTATATGAATTCACAGTATTGAAACAATCGAATTTATCAACTAATAAATGCCGGTTACAGTAATTATTAAAGCAGAGAAACTCCGAGAAAACATGATGAATGCAAACTCAATTAGATCTGACCTGACCTAGAACTACAAAAAGGATGATTTCTACCTTATCATATAGACTACACGACATCGTAACTGAATAGAATTTTACTAAACTGATCAAGTAACGTGATTAAAATATAGTCGTGTCAGATTCAGCTTATATCTCCAAAAACAGCGATCACATTCAGATATGATGAAATTCAAAATTATCGAGATTTACGAACAGATAAGCAGAGATCCAAAATTAATCGACACAATCATAAGTGTAAAACTACCAATAGAAACCGATACAGATTGAGAACATACACAGATAACATAATCAAATTTGATGATGATAACGCAATAAAAGTTGTGTATAGACTTACCGATTCAACACTGCGGAGGTTGAGAAGAGAAAGAGAAGAGACGCTGTTTAGGGTTTTGAGTTGTGGATTGGAGAAGAGCGATTGAGGTCTGAGGGAGAGGCTGCCTATGCAATACATTTATATAGGGTTGGTATCGTGTGGAGATATTCAGGCTTTAATGCCATTTGATCTCAACCGTTGATTTGTCAACTGACTTCATCGACGGTATACAATAGACGTTTATAGTGAACTGTAAGCGTAACCCTATTCCCGTTTCCTCATCTTAAAAAGATAAATGTTCGAAAGATGTTAATTTATTTGTTTTTGTATAAATATCTTTTAACATAAGTTTTATGATTAAATATTTAACTTGTTAGAAATTTATAACTTTCTATGATAATGTTAATTTAAGGAAGTTGACATTACACGACTTTAAATATACATTTAAAAAAGTATATAATATATAAATTATGATATTTTATGGTGACATGTGTAACATTTAATATCCTCTTACCCAATAAAATGGTGACATGTGTGACATTTAATGCTAATTTAATGATAGACACATGTCATTATTTAAATTGGTAGGATCAAAAGGTAGAAGGATATTTAATTTCTCATAAATTATATAATCCGTTAAACCATAATATACATTTTTTTAAACCATAATATACATTTTTTTAAACCATAAGTTGTGTAGAGATTACATCCATTAATTTAACAGCGACAACCTGTACTTGTAGTCGTATCCGACGGCTTTCTTTAGGCCCAAGTTTACTTAGATGGCCCAATTAAGTACCAAATGAAGCTTACTCAATTTCGAAAAAATAGGTTAGTAATATTTGAAGTCTACGACTTTTATAAATAAGTGTGGTAAAAATATTGTTTAGGTTTCGATTAATCTTTAATTAGTCCTTAGACACTACCCAACCAACTAGAAGTCATTTAACGATTAATCACTTCTTACACAATGAACGAAGCAATAACAAATAATGAAATTTTAATATGTTGAAAAAATTCTATTGCAACAGAAATTATTTGATGAAGGATTATTGTTGTATTAATCATATTAACATATTATGTTTTAATATTAGTGATGTTTATGAATTTTGTTATGATATTAGATCTATTGAATTTTTAAAACTCGGTGAATTAACATTTTAGGGTTTCCGATTAATCTCCGCCTAACCGATTAATTCTTTAACTCTAATCCACCGACTAGCTAACGACAAACGTTTTTTTTACAACATTGCTTTATTATTTGTGTATAAATATTTGATTGTAGCATTTTGATAGTTGTAGAACTATATAAAAGAACATTCAAATAGAAGCTTAAAGTTAAAATATAAAAGTTAAAAGTCTCTAAAAACTCTTAAAAACTAATTGAAATAATTCTTGTATTAGAAACTTTTTGTTATGAAATATAGATTTAAACTAGTAATCTCAAATAAATTATTTTTCTTTGTTTTGAGTTTTATGAAAATGCTATATTTTAAAGTTATTAGAAATACGTTGTAAAAGACGCTCTAAATGTTAACATATGTTCGTCTATTTTTTTATTTTTTATATGTTATATGTTTTCTTTTGACATATGCCTCTTAATAAGTAAATAAAATTCATACGGCTATATATTATACATATAACACCGTCACATTAAAAATGTTGTCACCTCAGCGCCATATTATCATCATCTCCCCCACCATTTAGGCTATAGGATATACTAGTAACATCAAAGGCATGTTGGTGACGTGGCACCCTCAACACGGTGTACACATGACCCTCAATGATGTGGTGTTGGTGTGGTGGCCGATGGTGGGAGTGGCATGAACCACAACATATTACACGATTTTTTTTCTATCTTTGTTGTGGTGGTCGATGGTGTATAGGGTGTATCTTAGTCACACTATATCACACCACTTTCTTTATTTTTCGCTCTTTGCCCCTTGCTCCCATGGGCTTCCTCTTTTAGAAATCTTCACAACATGAGAATGGTGAACATCATTCGGTATTTGTGGTGGCGTAAATGTTGATAGTACTTGATATTAAAGGAGATGATTGTGTGAGATGTGAAGAGTATATCTCATATGCTTACCAATGTGGTAGTCACCACTCTATATCACCATATAACTTTTTTTTTTAATTATTTAGTAAAAGTAATATTAATGAAAATAAAAATATAATATTAAATAAAAATTAAAAAGTTAGATTAATGTAGAAAAATTAAAAATTACATGATAAAAGTTGAAAGAAAAAACTACTTTCCGTTGTCGTCGTCATTAAGATTCTTCATGTAGTATATATGGTCTGTTAAATCTTGGCGAAGATTGTTGTTCTTTTTTTATGTATTTCTGTAACTTTCAAGAAGTATTGTGGGCTACTGCTTGCAAATTGTTCATATTATTTTTTCTTAATGACTTTAAAAGCTCATTCCATATCATTCTTGTTAGAATTTTGGGGTAATAAAGGCACTTGAATATTCTGAGAATTATGATTTCACTTTCAAATCAAAGTATTTGGGTGGTACTCCCTAATCTTTGATTGGATAAGTGTAACAATGGATAAAATCAACCTTGGTTTGTATTGATATTAACATAACAATATATAGAGAGGATTACAACAATTACTCCTATGATAAAGGAGATAAACTAGCATACAGATACAATAAATACTAGAAATTATCCTCTAATACCCCCCTTCAATCGAAAAGGTGGCGGTCCAAGACGAAGCATTGCACGAAATTTCTCAAAGAGTGCACGCGGAAGACTTTTTGTGAAGATATCTGCCACTTGAAGATTGGTTGGAACAAACTTTGTGTATAATTTACCCGAGCTAACAAGCTCCCAAATAAAGTGATAATCCAAGTCAATATGTTTGGCACGCTTGTGTGAGATTGGGTTCTGAGTCATAAATAGGTCACTTTTGTTATCACAGAGAAGCGTAGGACGGTCCGGTGGTAAAGCATGCAATTCTCGAAGTAAATGGGTGATCCAAACAATTTCTGTAGCCGTGTTTGCCATTGCCTTATACTCGGACTCACAACTGGACCTGGAGACCGTTGGTTGTTTCTTGGAACTTCAGGAAACAAGATTTCCACCAAGAAACACCGAATAGCCATAAGTAGAGCGACGTGTTTCAAGACAGCGAGCCCAATCAACATCGGAGTAGCCGACGACGGAAGCTTTGTGTCGGCGACTATAAGTTAGACCAAAGGAAATGGTGCCTTTAACATACCGAAGTATTCTCTTAACATGTTGAAAATGATCGATGGTTGGAGCATGAAGAAACTGAGAGACTTGATTAACGGCATAAGATAAGTCCGGTCTAGTTATGGTTAAGTACTGAAGGGCTCCAACTAACGACCTATAGAGAGTAGGATCAGAATAGGGCATGTCATCCATTGTGAGGGATTTATGTGGAGCCAAAGGTGTACTGACAGGTCTGGAGACTAAAAGCTCAGCCCGGATGAGAATGTCTCGAGCATATTTTGTCTGTGAAAGGAAGAGACTGTTGTCCATGTAAGCAACTTCAAGGCCAATGAAGTAATTTAGTTCCCCAAGGTCTTTTATGGCAAATTCGTGATTGAGACGAGAGATAAAGGTGGCAATGGCAGATTCAATATTTCCCGTAAGAATGAGATTATCGACATAAACCAGTAAGTACAGAATGCATGAGTCTTTGAGAAAAATAAAGAGAGAAGTGTTTGCACGGCTGCATATAAAACCATAAGAAATAAAAAAGGTGATTAAGCGTTGAAACCATGCACGTGGTGCCTGTTTTAATCAATATAATGCCTTGGATAATTTGCACACATGATTTGGGAACTGAGGGTTGATGAATCCCGGAGGTTGTTCCATGAAGATCGTCTCAGTTAAGTTACCATTTAAGAACGCGTTTTTGACATCTAGTTGATGCAGCTTCCAATTATTCAAGACGGAAAGCGTAATGACAATTCGCATTGTGGATGCTTTGACAACCAGACTAAATGTGAGAGAGTAGTTGAGACCCGGGATTTGAGTATATCCCTGGGCAACTAATCTAGCTTTGTAGCGTTCGATGGTTCCGTCTGAGTGGTATTTAATGCGATAGACCCATTTGGACCCTACAATGTTGGTGAGACCAGGACGTGGTACTAAGGTCCATGTTTTATTTTGTTGCAAAGACTCAAATTCTTCAATCATGGCAGCCATCCATTTTGGATCTTTGGCTGCCGTTTTAAAACCTTTGGGTTTAGTTGTCGATATTAATGCAACATGAAGACAGTTAGTAGCAAGGGAGGCTAGATCAACCTGATGTTTTGGTCGAAAAATACCAGCCTTGGACCTGGTAATCATTGGATGACTCGATACAGAAGATTCAGGTGATGGCATAGGCAAATATGTACTTGGAACCGGATGATCAGATGAAACAGGAGCCTGGTCAGCAGGGGCTGTAGTAGACGAAACAACTGGAGAAGGATAAGTTGCATCCGTATGGACCTGTTCAGGTAACAAAGTGGCAGGTGGGTCTCGATGTTTGTCTGGTGGGTTGCAAAGAGCACAAGGTGATGATTTTGTAGTATGCTCATTAGCTTTGGCAGGTGGAGTAAGACTAGTTGGCACATCAAGAGATGATGAAGACTGTGGAAGTTCTTCAATAAAAGTAGTAAGAGTTAATTGAGATAAATTTGGGTCAAGAGATGTACCATGAAACGGGAACACTTGCTCATTGAATCGTGCATTTCGAGTGATGTAGACACGAGAAGATGCTGGATCGAGACACCAGTACCCTTTATGTTGCTGACTATAGCCAATAAACACACATGGGATGCTTTGAGGTTCAAATTTGTGTTTGGAATAGTCACGCAAATAAGGGAATACCTGACATCCATATGTACGAAAGTTGGCATGTTGTGGGTCTTGATTGAAGATCAAGCGAAATGGTGATTGGTTTGCCAATAATGGAGTAGGTAAACGATTAATTATGAATGTAGCTATGGTAAATGCATCAACCCAATAACATGCAGGAACTTTGGCATTAAACAACATTGCTAAGCCAGTTTCCACAATATGCCTATGTTTTCGTTCCGCTCGACCATTTTGCTAAGGTGTGTACGGACACGAAAACCTATGAAGTGTGCCATTGTCTTCAAAAAAAATTCGGAATGTGTGATTCACAAATTCCGTGCTACCATCGCTTTGAAACACCTTTATCTTTCTCGAGCATTGAGTTTGAACAATATTAATAAAAGCAGGTAGGATCGAATAAAAACCCGTTTTGGTTTTAAGTGGGTAGAACCACGTAAACCTGGAGTAATCGTCAATAAATGCAACATAATATTGATAACCATCTTTAGAACAAACGGGAGCTGGTCGCCATAAATCACAATGTATTAGGTCTAAAGGTTGAGATGAACGTTTGTAATTTAGATTAAAAGATAAACGCTGCCCTTTTACAAGTTGACAAGCAGTGCAAACAGTTGGTTTTGGTAACAATGAAGTAATAGATAAAACACCTAACTTATTTAAAAGGGAAATAATATCAATAGACAGGTGGCCTAAACGAGCATGCCATAATTCATAAAAAGCTCGAGTGGAAACTCTAGAGGTAGCAACCAAGGCTTCAGGTTCATCCTTCAACACATAAAGACCATTTTGACAGCTTCCTTTAGCAAGTACCCGTTTTGTTTTCCGATCCTGAATTGCAAAAAAAGGTTGAGAGAAAAGGACATCAACAGGATAGTCCTTGGTATGCTTGTTGACAGATAATAAGTTTTTTGTAAGATTAGGAATGACAAGAACATCACTTAAAGGAATGATGTTTGATATAATAGAAGAACCTATATGAGTGATGGGAAGCTTCTTGCCATTTCCAAAGATTGCTTCATTGTTACCTTGGTATGGTGCTGAGTGATGTAGGGTTTCACGATCGGGGGTCATATGAGCAGTGGCCCCGGAATCAACATGCCAATCAGGAGTGTTGGTGGTGACATGACATTGGGCATGGAAAGCCTTCGATAAAGATTCATCCGAAGAAGCAGCTTGACTGGCATAGGTGTGGAGATTTGGACAGGAATACGCATAATGTCCATTGTTTTTGCAGAGTTGACAATGAGGAGGTCGTCTCCCTTGACCATGCCCCCTGCCACCTCAAGAGTTGTTCCCACGGTAAGAGGTGGAACGACCCCGACCGTGATATGATTGGTTTTGTTGCACATGAAAAGCAGCCGGAGGAGTAGAAGCACCATGGATGGACTGCAAAAATAACTTGTGGCTTTCTGCTTGTGTAACGAGATCACGAAAGACGCGTGATGGCTTTATGGCTCGAATCGTAGAGAATGTTTCATAGGATGGTCCTAAGCCACAAAGAAACCAATGTAGTTTGTCGATTTCAACAATGGGTGTCCAATCGCAGATAGTTGATCACAGATGGCCTTGAAACGAAGACTATAACCAGGAACAGAAGATGTTCCTTTGGTTAACTGACGAAGAGAATCATGCAAGGATTGAATGCGTTCTACAGAGCAATTGCTATAAGCGGATTCAAGAGCTTGCCAGATCTGTCGAGCAGTGGAAATACCCAATACTTCAGCCGCTGCTTCTTCAGTGAGAGATGAGTGCAAGAGAATAATGGCACGCTGATCTGCATCATTCCAGAGAGCAAGAGCAGGATTTGGAATAGTTTTGTTTCTTCAGTGATGGTAGGCGGCGGAGAGGAAGAAGTGTCGTCGATATGCCCTGATAGTTGTTGATAGGTGAAGATGGGAAGCATCTGGTTGCGCCAGAGAAGATAATTGTTGGATGAAAGATTGATAGTCATCATATGTAATAGAGTGTTCATGGAGAACGGACCATCGGTGGAGGAGGAGGAAGACGATGGATCCATAATAATATCCCAGGAAGAAATTAGAAATTGAAGGGGAGAGAAAGAATGTGAACGACTGTCTACTTTTCATCTTGAAGAAACTTAAACAAGTGTGCACTCCGCACATTCCTTACTTGTTTAATATTCATCAAGATTGATTTTGGTCAACAAGTCAACCCACTACACTTAAATACAATTACTGAAACAAATCACCAACAATTCCTTGTGGATTTTTATGTTACATTGAACAATTTTTGTTTTCCATTATGTGGATATGTGGCGATTTGACAATTGTAGTGTAATAAGGATATATCTCATCAAAAAGGTAATACCCATTTATATATTTGCATTCACTAGAAACTGAAAGTTGGGTGCTCTTCCTGTTAGAATATCATCGAATATCAACGTCTGATTAAGAACATTTATGTCATTGTTTAACTCAACAACACCAAAGTATGCAAGCCAAAACCATAGACCTTGTGAAGCCACTGCTTCTAGTATTGTCATCGGGATTCCATGATCACATTATGTGAATAGGCATTGCCATGTAATTTAACAATTTTCCCATGTCAAATACATACAATTAATGCTTCCAATCCTTCATGAGAAACCGCGTGTTATTTTTGTGACAAAAACAGTTGTTCAACATCACTTCTCGTGGGTTTCCACAAATAAATTTTGCAATAAAGCTCGATAACATATTCACTAAACAAATATGTACATTCAAATGTTTTTTCTCTCACATCTTCAAATATTCATTAGTTGTGTCAACGGTGATGTCATATGCCAAAAACCAAATTGTGGCCGTAAACTTTTGTATCGTAGAAAAACCTTGCTTACCTCTAACATCCCACTTAAATTTAAAGAATTCACATTATCTTCCAAACTGTAGCTATATCTGGGAATAGTTTTCTTCCCGAACGTAATCTTTGTTTGAAGGACGTATGGTCGTACTTGTAAGAACCCGTTATTTCAAATCAATGTCATGGTCTAGGGCAACCATTATAATTTGTTTTAAAGTAATAAAATAATTAATATCAAAATAAGCGTCAAAAATAAAATATAAGATAAACTTGATTTATATGAATAAAGTGGTAGTGATCGTGACAAGGATTCCGAAGATATAAAGAATACCGAAATCGAAGTTATAAGGAAGAAGTTATGACCTATCGAAGTTTCGCGACAGAACCGACACAACGATGTGTTTCGTAAAAAGTGAGTTTAAAAAAAATGCTTTTTAGCCTTAGGTATCTAAACAAAAGTTGTAACATACATTAAACCGAGAGCGTGCATAAAAATAACGTCCAAATCTGACTTCGTATGAGGAAGTTATGATTTTTCTAAGATTCGGCACAACAGTGTACTGCCCGAAATTCGAACTATAGATCAAGCGTTTTTAGCCGACACAACCTAAATGAGAATCGAAGATCTTTTCAATAGTAGTTCAGCGGTAAAAAGACAGACGAAAACGGCTGTCAGATGAAGAAGTTATGAATTTTTAACGGACTTTTTCTGTCCCAGCCTGTTAAAAATATAACATTAAAAATAAAGTTAAAATTGGCCGATGGAGTCTAAACGAAAGTCATAGAGTACGATATCACCTACGCGTGGATATAAAGAACGTCAAAAACGGAGCTCGTATGCGATAGTTACGAATTTTTGAAGTTCATGGCTCAAATTCTGAGGCTTGTCCGAAGGCGTACGCCCAACGTACGAGATTACGCCAAGCGTTCGCGTGCCCGGTCCAGAGCTGGCCACGTCGCCCTTCCTTCGCATGGTAGACACGTATCAGACACGTCCGATGCGAGCCACCGCCTTCCGAGAATCTGATGCGTGATACCTACGCCCCGCGTACTGCGAGACTACGCCCCGCGTAGTGCGAGACCTCCGGGCTATAAAAGGGTTGTGAGGGCAGCTCGATTCTTTGGCCATTTTACACCTCTTTTTCACTCTCTACTCTATAACATCCCAAAATTCAAGACCAAAAATTTTGTTTTGATTAATTAAAAACCGCTTAATAAATCTTGCTCAATCATTTAATAACATTCTTAATAAAACAATTATCAGAGTTTTAAATCCCAAATATCATCTAGTGCGGAAAACATGGTGTGATGCGCTGCGATCGCGCCGAGCTCCTTCCTTGGAAAAAATTAGTACCTGAAACAAATAGCTGAAAACCGTAAGCACGATGCTTAGTGAGTTCCCCAGATACCACATATCATACCTATCAACTGATCCATACATGCCATACGTAACCATGAACCATACATAACAAACATATCCATAATCAAGTAAGGTGCTACGTGCCAAACATAGTCTTGCTGTTATGCCACGGGCCGCACGTGGTCTTTCCTGTCAAGCCTGGGGCCACTCCCTGGTCCATACAGACAAGTGCCAAGGGCCACCCCTGGTCTTCCATGCAAGCATCACAAAGACAACTATACATACTACTATACTAGGCTACTCAGCATACAGCGTGCCAGGAGCCACCTCCTAGTCTTTCATACATGTTGCCTAGGGCTAACCCCCGGGTCTTCCTACCATACATAATAGCATACTGTGTGCCAGGAGCCTCCTCCTGGTCTTTCATGCATAATGCCTAGGGCTAACCCCCGGGTCTTCCTACCATACATAATAACATACTGTGTGCCAGGAGCCTCCTCCTGGTCTTTCATGCATAATGCCTAGGGCTAACCCCCGGGTCTACCTACCATACATAAACTAAATGGGCCGACATTGTGGCCGTAGACCCATACAAACAGTTAGGAGACTCCCTCGATGTCGTGTAGTGTCAGCACGATCCTCGGCACGGAAATCAGCTCGTCTCAAATCTTCAATCCCTACACAACAACCCTTCTCGATTACTAATTCATAATCATAACCCTCTTACAAGAGTCAACCCAAGTCCAAGCCAACAGTCAAGGCCAAACCCTGGTTAAAGTCAACATCCAGTTGACTCGACTCGCCGAGTTGGCCCGCCAACTCGTCGAGTCCCCTTTTCCATAAAATGTTAAAACCCCGATTCTACCTGCCGAGTCTAGCGACCACTCGACGGTCCTTCTTCACCCATAACTGTTGGATTAATGTCTAAGTCCATAACTATATTTGGTATGTACTTGACCCGATTGGCATGGTCCATTTGGGTTGCATGACATCATGCATTTGGATAGACTAAAATGAGAGAAATAACACTTAAGGTTTACTAATATATTATAAGTTCTAATATATTAATAAGATTATTTAATTAGTATTGATCAAGAATTAATTTGGAACTAATTAAGTGATCAAAAGGAGACTAATTAAATATATGGGTTGATTGTGTAAATCATCCATACTTGTATAGTGGGCTAATGCTCCATGGATTATCAAGTTGGGTTAAAACCCATAGGATGCTCAATGGATGCTCCATGGTGTTTTTGTACCCATGGATCATGGAAATGAAAGGCCATGACAATTAGGGTTTACATGGTGTAACCCTAATTGTGACAGACTATATAAGCATCTTATTCTTGTCAAAATCGGCCACCATGAGAGAACTATGTGTGTATGGTGAGGGCTAGACGATTTCATGAAGTGGTTCATTTCTCTCTAAGTTATTTCAAGTGTATTTGATGTTGTGTGAACCATTTGAGGTGTCACACTTGGGGCACTCGGCTCTTAAGCATCAAGGAATCAAGATACATAAAAAGGTATGTCTTCAAACTTGTTTTTATTACCCAAGTATCATAGATTGTATGCTAGATAGGGTAATACCTTGGAATATTCATATTTGCATGTATAATAGAGAAAACATAGATCCAAGGTATTTAGGGTTGCATGTACACTTAGGAGTGTTAGAATGCTCAAAACCAAACAGTGGTATCAGAGACAAGGCTTGTTTTCAATTATACTTGATGCAAAGTGCTGAAAAATGCTGAAAAAATCGATTTTCGGGCTGTCTGGGCACTGGACTCGTCGAGTCCACTGATGGACTCGTCGAGTCCACTGATGGACTCGCCGAGTCCATGAGGAAACTCATCCTACTCGTCGAGTAGGTTCATACACTCGACGAGTAGGACCCCCTGACATCATATTTTCGACTTTTAATGGCTGGAATTGGACTAGAATCATTACCCTAAGCTGTTTTTGAACCTATAAACTTGTTTTTGATGTGGTAATGTTCATTCTAATCCAATTTCAAAGATAATTGTCAATATATTCATGTTTTGTATTAGTTTAATGGATAGGCTAATTACATGAAAAAGTTTGATTGAATTATCTTGTTCTTATGATTTGCTTAGATGAATAGGAATGTTATGTGAAATTGTCAGTCTTACCGTTAGTAGGCCTTATTCACGAAGCCGGTCTATAAGGGGGGTATAAGGTTGTTGCCTGTAAAATGGCAGCTTAATGGGTGTCCACTCTCACCCACCGCTTCCTTGACTGGTGGAGGGTCGTTAGCCGAACGGGTAGGACAATGACTATAATTCTCCCTTCATTAAAAGTATTAATGATAAATACTAAGTAACTAAACTTTTATAAATACCCAATCTTAGTTACTTAGGAAAATGTGAATTTGGTGCTAACCCATGAAATTACACTTTGCACTTTGCTTAAGTCGGTTAGTGGAGCGTGTGTGGTTAACCGGCACACTAACCTGGATTTAACAAGGTAGGCAAAGGGTAACTTAATGTTTATCATAGGATCGGTGGAGCGCGTGTGGTTAATCGGCACATCGATTAAGTGATAAATATTATGGGTACCAAGTATATTTGCATGGTTATTCACACCTTGTTTTGTGATCCTCGGCATCCCAGTCACAAAACCTGAGAGGGCACAATCGAGATTGAAACATGCCATTGAAAAGTTCAATGAATCTCAAAAGAATCTAGGAGTTTCAAAACCAATTAAAACCTAATAAATTATTTCGTTTTCATGGTGGAAATTGGTGAATCGTCATTCACCTACCTTCAAATATTTTATAACCTGGATTACGGCATCCCTCTTCCAAGTTATAAAATGTTATGTTGGGTCATAACCTT